GCATGCCATATCTATAGTGTTAGCTTCAATGTAAATAAATATATATTTTTACTCTTTATGGAAATAATATTAGATTATATTGTATGTAAAAAAGACAAATTGCTTGATCAACTTAAAATTAGAAAAATCTTTAATATGTAATAATTACAAGATCAAAAAGAGATATAATAATATTTTAGCATGGCCTAATTCAATTGCATCTACATCAAATATTTTACACATATTATTGCATCTATTGATACTCTAAGTTGTACAAACTATTACTATCTAATTCATTGAACTACAAAGGTGCAATAAGCTTTTGAAGCTGTAAAAAATGAATATATCAATATATCAATATTATTAGATTCAATTGGCTTTTATAATTTTAGATTCATATAGATACATCTAATATTGCAATTAAAGTTATGCTTGCTCAAAATTCCACTAGCAAGGTCAAACAAATAGTGGCCTATGCAAGTTGATTATTGAACCATCCAAAATATAACTATGTAACTACTAAATGGAAAGTACTTACTATAATATATGTAATTAAAAAAAATCCATTATTTATTAAATAACAAATTTTATTTGGTCATAAAATACTATAATTTATTATATTTAGTAATTCAATCATTAATCACTAGCTACTTTGTATGATGGATCATGATATTTTTAGAATATGATTTTGAAGTAGTCCATGTTTTAGAAAAAAATCACATAATTGCTCACTATTTATTCCAAGATACAACCATTATTAAACCTACCAAAGTTGATATCACCTTTAATAATTCATATATTCAAACATCCATTACTCAATTCTTAACAATCAATAATGATTGGTATTTTGTGTATAAAATGAATCTCACAATGAAACAAACATTAGAAGGATTCATTGGTATGTGCTATAGTAACTTCATTTGTAAAATCTTATCATATACTTATAAAAATCAATGCCTTTATAAATGCAACATAGATAATGTCGCACAACTTTGTGATTGTTAAGATTAATAGCAAGATATTATTGAAGAATTATATAAGGATATAACATGCAAGGAGCAAGGACCAGAAACAACCATCCAAAAAAATATTTTTAACAAGATATTAATGGCCAACTCTACAGATTAACATATACCATTATACCAAGTATTTCCATGCATGTCAAATATCCACAATAAATTTTATATATCAAGAAATGGTTCTACTATATTCTTTCCTACTACTTTGACCATTTAGGTGGTCGAGCTTAGATTCATTAGTCTTATCAAATTAACAATATGCTATGGATATAATTATATATTGGTAACCATAAATTATATGACCAAATGAATAAAGGCCAAGGCTTTATGCACCAATTCTACCATCATTACAACAACCTTTTTTTACAAATAAATCATCACTTACTTTAGATGCTTTTTTGAAAATTCTATTTGATCAAAGTACATACTTTGTCAATCAAGTTATTAAGAACCTCATGTAAGAACATATTATTAAACATTAAACTTTTTCCTTGTATTATCTACAAGATAATAGATTAGCAAAATCCTTAAATAATTAAAAAAAAATGCCATTGCAAATCAAATCAATTGAGATATATATATATATATATATATATATATATATATATATATACTAGTAGTCTTATGGACCTATTAAGCTACACATAAAGATATGACAAAGACGGATTCTTTCAAATTGATATGTGACATACATCCATTGTCATATTATGTAACATGTGCTTGAAAATGCATCAAGCACATGGTTGTAGAAGATAAAATAGAATTTGTAATAAGAAACTCCTAACAACTCTAATAGAATCTCAAAAAAAATCTAATTAAATCTTAACAATGTTAATCTATCTTTAATCAAATTCAAAAAAAGTCTTTAAAAAATTACAAAAGAAACATTAAAAAATTAAAAATGAACCTTAAAAAATATATAAAATAAATAATTCTTAAATAAATATTAAATAAATATTAAAGAAATATTAAAAATGAAAATCTTAAACGAATCCTAAACCAATTTTAATAAAACCTCAATGAAATTTCAAATCAATCTTAATTAGATCCTAAATCAATAGTAAACAAATCGTAATGAAATCCTAGCCAAATTCTAATATAATTCTAATCCAATCTTAAATAAATCCTAAATCCTAACTAAACTTTAATAAAATCCTAATCAAATCTTAAATAAATCCTATTAAAATCCTAATCAAATCCTAATTAAATCCTAAAGAGATTTTAAATAAACTTTGAATAAACCTAAAAAAATATAAAATAAATCTTGATCAATATTTATAGCTATTTTAAAATTTCAATAAAAACTAATCAAACTATTGATCTCAATTCAAATTTCATATGCATTTTAATCCACAAGCAATTAATAAGCACATAAAATTTGAAAAAAATCAAACTTGCTAATTAAAAGAAAAAACTCCTAAACCTCTCGGAAGTTAGTTTTTGTCATTCTTTAATCTAAATATTGATTTTTTGGTAGCAATTTTTCCTTGTTGAACCATTCATTTGCTTTAAAAATTAACTAGTGTGTAGATTTTTAAGTCCAAATTACTATCACTAATTTTGTCTTCTATCAAATTAATGGATTTTTTAGGATCATAAAAATCTTCATTGATCCTAATTTAGATATGACTAAAAATAAAAATATATAAGTATTGAAAAATTATACTTTTAGATAAAATATGTAATAATTTATTTAATTAAAAAATAAATATAAATTTAAAAAATCACAAATTATTAAAATATGGTTATTTATGAATATTATTCTTAGATGTTTTTAATGACAAGAACTTAAAAGAAGAAAAATAAAAATAAAATAAAATTGCGTCAAAATAAATAAAAAATAAATAATTATATGTATTTTACAAGAAGACTAAAGACTCTTGAAACTAGGCTAGAAACAAGGAAGGCATTGATAAGAGTAAAAAAGATATTACTCTTTCTTCCATATATACTATCTAACTAAAGAGCTAAGTAGCAGCATTTTATAGGTCATCTAATATGTGCTCAACTTAAGGTACATGAGTCTAATTTGTAAGGCAAGTTTCCAACATGTGTGCCATATTGCCAACATGTATAATACTTGGCCAATTTGTTGGCCAAGTTTTTAATCTATTAATTACCTACAAGTACTTCTAAAGTCATATCTATATTTATATAACTTCTAAAGAGATACTTTCAAAGATATTGTCAAATTAACCTACTTTACGTACTTCTATCAAATTCTTGTCATTTTCTTATTTACTAATGTCAATATTGATATTCATGATATATATGATTTTAATAATATATTTTTATAGCATAATAAGAATAATTGGTATCAATATTATCTATTTATATATATTATGCATAATTGATCTTTTAGAGATTGTAGTGTATTTTTCTAATTTGTTTAGCAAGATTATGTAGTAATAAAATTTTATTTTTAAAGAAAATAGAAATAATTAAAATACTACGAAGTTTTTTTTTAGATTTATTTAAGTCAAAATTATTTCAATAAAAATTCCAAAAGAAATTTGTATTTAGATTGTCTTACACAATAAAAGATTTTCTATAATAAGAACTTAAGAATTTTATTTTCTAAACATATTCTTTCTTGTAATATTTTTCATATCAATTAAATTAATAAATATAGATGCAATCTAGTAATTTTATTGATTGCTGTACAAAATCAAGACATCTTATACAAAAATAAAACCAAAAAAAAATAAATATGTGTTAAATAACAAGATTTATATTAAAAATCAAATTAATTTAGTTATGTTCATAAGTCTCTTTTTAAAATCATATTTCACATTCAAATTAGATTTATATACAAAAGCTTTCTATATGCACTACTAATAAAAAAGAATTATACATTTTTTTAACCAAAAAACCATGATCTATAATGCATTTGATAAAATTATAAAAAAGAAGTAAATTGAATTATACATATATTTGAACTTTGAAGAAAAACTTTAAAAAGTGTAAAGAAGATCTTTAAAAAGTGTAAAAAGAACTTGAGCAACTGTGAAGATAACTTGCAAAAAAACCATGAATATGGGTTGTGAAGGAATTTATGAAGAAAAATTCTGCAAAGAAACATATAAAGTAATAATGAAGAGAAGCTTAAAGAAGTTAGAAGAAATTTAAGGGCAATAAGTGGCAGCCATCATTTTGGAGGTAGTATAATAGAAATTTAATATGGAGTACATGTAATTTGACATTTGTAAAAATAATTGTGTTTCTAATTCTATTATTGGGCTTTTGGTCTTTAGGGTTAGAAAAGTCAAGAAGTGGGATTTGATACACACAGATATTCTACTGCTCTCTAACTTGATGATGTCATCCCCTGTCTTTAAGAATCTTCCATGGCACTATGCCCTAAGATATGACATAATTCTAATTAAGTCAATGTACACATGGTGCTGAATTCCATTTTTTATTTTTTATTTTTGTTGGAGTTTGATTGTTGGTAAGGATGTTGAAAAGATTCCAAGTAATCCTATTAAAAGTATTAATTCTCTACAAAATCTTATAATCTTCTTTTCTATTGTTGATTTTGATGTATCACTCATTGAATTAGAATTTGATGAAATAGATTCATTCAAAAAATCGGTTTATTAAAAAAATGGCATTAAATTATAAATAAAAAATTTAAAAGAACATTGTAATGATATATACATATTAAGTTTAATTCTTGTAACATGTGAATACTGATAACCATCATACTGTTATAAAATAAAATTATTTAATATTTAATACGTTAAAAAGAGAAAACATATATATATATATATATATATATATATATATATACTTAAAAAATTAAGTAGAATAGTCATTAATAAATAAATGCATCATGTTTTTGTGTAGGAAGACAAATTATTGAAATAAAATAAAAAAAAAACATTAAAATTGATAATTTATTAAGCTCATAACAAAGTTATATATATCTATATATATCTATATATATATCTATATATATCTATATATCTATATATATCTATATATATATATATATATATATATGAAATAAAGGTTTTTTTTACACAACATGTAATAATAAAAAAAATCATGACACAATTGTCTTTCAATAGAGCTTCTACAATAAAATATTTCTACAATGAGATGAATTTATGCACATATCACACCATTATATGTATAAATCTGTTAACCACTCTAACCACATGTTAATTAAAGACACTACTAACATCACTTGTTGATCAATTATTCTACTTTAAATTACATGGATCAAATCCTTCATATCCAATCCAAGGTGACCTGAAACAACTAAAGAACTGCATGCAACACCCAAAAGGTTTTGCAAACTTAGAATGGACATAATCCACTCTCAACCAAAATAATCCTCACCTTGCCCAGTGCAGAGATTAGCAAACCCAACTCCCTTGCTGCTGAACGAGTTTACTTACAAACAGAAAAAACTTCATATTCAACGCCTTATGATGTTGGTGTAAATGTATGTTGTCACACCCAAACATATTAGCCATATACAACCCACAACAATCCAAAGCACCACGACACATTCATATCAAGAAGAGAAAGGATCGAAGCTGAAACATCGCCGAGCATCTCCCGCATCTGCAGAAACCACTATCGCATCAGCAAACGGATCGAACAAAAACCATGACTTTTTGTTATGAGAAAGTTGAGAAGAGTGCAGAACGGCATCACAAGAATGATGCACACAAACTTGGATTCCTTGCAGAGAACAGTGTGTATGGGATCTTCCAGTTGGTGCAGTAGGAGTGGCACTTCGATGCAAGCAGATCAGTTTCTAGAATGCAAGTGATCGATCTGCTCTGAGCAGGTGGATGAGTGGGTGGGTGAGAGTGCAAACCTGGAGGGGGGATGAAGCACAGGAAGGAATCTGATATCGGGGGAGTGAAGGGACCGGGAGAATTGGATTGCTGAATGAGCTCAAGAATCGCCGTATTGTCGGGTTCCTGAGATTCTTCAACCCCCGCGCACGTCATCAAAGTCGGTATCGTCATCAGAGCAGGTGGGGTGATCACTCCGTTGCTGTCTATCCCCAAAAGCGTTTGCTTTTGCTGCTCCTGCTGGAGCCCGGAGTTATACTGAGGCGTGTTGGTGAAGGCTAGGGAACTTGGATAGTCGTAGAGCGACTGGTCGTAGAGCGTGCACTCGGGCGTGAATGAACCTATGCAATCGTCAACGCTAAACTCTAAGTTAGAACCGCTCGCTTGGAATCTCCCCTTGCTGGAGTGCAACTGGGTCCTGTAAAGCTGGTCCGATGTAACTATGGAATCAGAGACGGTGTGCAGGGTGGAGAGCTCGGAGTCGGAGTACATGTCGACTTCTTCATGCGAGAAGAGGCCGACGGGACAATATTGGGCTTCAGCTGCGGAGGCCGTGGAGTGCGAAGGATTGAGCTCCGAAGACTCGAAGCTGGCGGCGTAGTTTCGACACTCACTTTTCAATAAGTCTTTTACCTTCACGTACATGGTCTGGTTGTTCACGTCCGAAAGAATGAGATTCGGTGGCATTTGAAACGACATAGCTCGGTTGTCGAGCTCGTCGCATGGCAGGTTGAAGGGTCTAATCTTCTTGCACTTCAAAAGCTTTCTTGCGAGGTCCACAGCTCGAGCAGCGCCCTCTTCCTTCTCGTACGTGCCGAGCCAGATCTTTTTGTCCACAACCTTCCATTCTGAGACGCGAAGCTCAGCGACGTATTTCCCGAGACCTCTTTTGAGGCGAACCCCGTAATATTTCGAACTGCATTTGCGCTTTGCCTTGCTCCGAGGTTCATCACTCAAGTCCTTTGATTTCCTTTTAGCCCCCGATCTGCCGCTGCAAGATGACCAGCATGTCTTAATTCGACTTGCTTTCACTAATTTAATGAACTTTTGTTCATCAGGAGCAAAATTAATCGCACTATCCTAAAAACCCTCAAGCAGCAATTCAAAATGTGTTCACGAAAACTTATTTGATCTCGAAAAGACCTTATCAAGCAGCACAAAGTCACACTCGGGAAGGGTCTGGTAAGAATGCAAGGATAGTTCACAACTTCAATGCATCATATTCTGCATGAAATTTCAGGACAAAAAACAATGTTTGTACCGGGTTGTAGTACGACCACCATGGGCATGTGAGATCGGATTTATTGAAGCTCTGTCATGAGTCCTCGGTGATGCAAGGATGGCATGCTTGTATTCACCATGAAAGGGACACGGGATCTGGCCAAGTGCAGTAAAGTCCTCCAGTGCAGAGCAGCGACTTTCTGGTGGGTATATGGAGTTGTCAGGCATCTTCAGTGGGAAATAGAATTCGCTGGAACGGGATTGAATCAAAACCGATTGGGAGCAGTTCGTGATTGGATTTGGAACCGTTATCTAGATCTGCTTAACCAGTAACTGAGCTCGTGATGTTGCACAGACGTCCTTCTTTTTACACTATCATGTAAACATCCCATACTCACTCAGCAGATTTTAGAAGTCCGTTCAATCCATACACAATCCAGGACTGCTTTACAGACAATTACTCGCCGCTCCCTCGACTTCGGCCTCGGCTCTCCTGTCCTTTTGGTGAATTGTCGCGTCACAAACTTCGACGCCACAAACTTCTGACACTGCCAGCGTATGTACGTGTTTTCGCTTGTAACTGTCTCTGTGCCACTAGTACTGGGTAATCCTTGCGCAGTGCAAATCAATTGATAAACGTCTATAGTAAGACAAATCGCTGAGAAGAGATTGACTCAGCTCCTGATTCAATATTAGCAGTTTCAGCAACACGGCTTGTAGCAGCGGCGCTGGGTCAGTCTCACTATGAACCACGGTGGAGAATTCTCCTGTATGGTAGAGAAATGAATCACTAGCCAAATCAATGTGGGAACTTTATACAAGAAAGAACAAATGAAGGTTAGTGGTGGTATCACTATTCAGTCGAATTAAAACGTTGAATTGGCGGTAGAATCATAGAGAAGTTGAGTGGGTTGATTTTGTCAATTGCCAGACATTATTAATTATTAATTAACAGTGTCACAAATCATGACACTGGTAGGAAACTAGAAGTTGCTGTGGGCTATAACGTGAATAAAAATATAACCACTCAGATCTCAATGAATATTCAAACCTAGTGCAGTCGTTTAGTGCATATTCTTGTTGTGCTGGAGACGTGGAATGATCTGGTCCCTTACATTTTTAATTCTGAGGACTGGCTTCCCAAGAAAGATTAAAAGATGGTTTGACATGGGTATAGAATTCTAAGAAGTGGGTGTCATCATTTCTGGCTATTTGCGGAACTTGGAGAGTGGCATTAAGTTCTGCTACGAGTCTGACTTGTCAGTCCACGAAACCCCCTTACAAGCAGTAACTCCTGCATTCGAACGGCTAGAATGCATTACCTCCGTCACTCCTCCACGCACAGAATAAGTCAATGTGGGACCCATTCTTTTTGGTCTTTACAGCTGCATGCGGCACGTCCACCCCCACGGCCACCCGCATATGTTCTTTACCAACTTCGAAAATGTCTGTACTACAGTATCTACTCTTGTAGTTGCACGCTAGAGATTCTTTTCCTCACCTTTCTCTCGAGTTACTCTGCATTCCGAAGTTGGAGCTTTAGGTACGTTTATTCCACAACAGCTCCGGCGATGAAGATGGATGGTGGGGTGGCGCTAGCCTATCAGGACCTTGAACCCTCGATCTGAGTTCTAGCCTACAACTCTTGTATAATTAAGCTGAACGGGACAAAAGAAAGTTATTTTGCAGTCCCCTTGATATTGTCTACTATGCGCACGTAGCATGGAGTAGAATGCTTAGAAATTCAAATCCAGCTATCATCTATGCCCATTCACTAAGCCAGCGGTTGGAAAACCTGAGATAATTTGGAGACAATGCACTCCTGGAAATAAGTAAATTAGTTGGTCGATTTGTCCACTCAGTTCAATGGAATAAAATCATCTCGCATTCTAAGTTCCACTCGTGAAAAGGTATGGTATCAGAGATAAATGAGGTATTCATTCCCTTTTGCCGCATGATTCCGCAACCAACATTCACCAATTAATGTTAATAGCAGATCTAGGCATCTCTTGTGATGACCAGCCACTTTCATGGTCAGAACAGAATGCATGTCCATCAGTTTTCACCTAAAAATGCGGTGAAAGTCGGCAATGAGTTCGGGGATGATTCCTGGGCGCCCATTTTTGATACTCAAAATAAAGACGAGTACGTGCTGAAGTCTTCGAGTTAAATATCTTGGGGGGCTGGCCGACTTGCAGAAAACTGGGCTTGTCACTTGTTTGAATTTCTATTGAAGAACTTGGGTTGAACTCGAATGGAGGAGCAGTCACAGCAACCACGAGATGACACGAGTCTTCGTTTCAGCGCTCCAGTTATATCAGCAGCATCACGCAACATGAAAAGAGGGTATTGATCTAGTCAATCCACAACCAGTTGGTAAGTTGAGTGATAACATCTCCCGCGGTTAAAGAGTTCTGTCGACTTACTCTACACGTGAAAATGAGCGAATCCCTTCCTGTAGGCAGACATTGATGCTTCAAGCTGATTACTAGAGCAAGTGAATCAAGTATTCAACACTGCATGTTGCACAAAGTTTGAATAATGTCTTCTGCACGTATCAACACATGCAACCAAGCATGATCTTTATCAAACGGCGGTTCCTTGGATTCCGTCTTTAGCATCACTCTTCACACAAGTACCTCGCAATTTCTAAGGTTTGACAATGCCACGCTTATTAATCAAGAATTCCTTCAACCAATACGAAGGCAATTGAATTTTGACCACCTGGCCTTGGATTTTCTTCCGGATACTGCGCCAGATACGAAAAGAAGACAAAAATGAGACTTCAAATATACGTGATAACAAGACAGCATAAACCATGGCATGGTTGTGTTCCCGACTGTCTTATAGTAAATAAATCCAACTATAACGCAATCTTTGGAAGACAGGAAAAAAAATCTTTTGAGGAACCCCCTGAAGTTACACAGTATAAATCCTTTTCTATTCATCCTAGGTAAGAGAAACACTTGTAGCAGCGATCCACTTTTTACATGCACAGCAGCGAAGAAACCAATTGTTAACAACTGGATTCATAAATATTCCCACACCATGCTGTTCAAAGGTGTAAAGGTAACACGAGATCATAAAAGCTAAATGTTTATCTTGGTTCAAACCGTTAGATAAAGTCAATAAGAAGATTTTCTAAGAATATCAATAGTGGTACAGAATTAGGAAGATAGACGTAAGCGTAATCACAGAATGTTTAGAACATAGAGAACAGTTGCAGTGGAATGACAAACTCTTCGATGGAAGCTTGTAAGCTTGCTGTACCCGTGCCTCATAATCATGAAGGGATGAAAATACACACAAACAATGCTAACAAAGCAACAAAAATAACCACTGAAACAGATCTACTCTACACGTAAAATGAACTACTAGAGTCCGCAGTAAACCTAAAAGTGAGATGCAAAGATCGTCACATTGAATAATTAGGACTATACCGAAGATGTTCCACACATACAGAAAACTCTTTACGGAATTTTCGAGGGCCAGTTTTTTTCCTGATTCTCCATCCCAAGCTACAATGGCTTATTATAGAACCCTATTCCTATGGGATGCACCTTGACTAAAGGGTACGCGGTTACGATTTCCGAATAGCACACGCTAATGAGTTCTGCATGAACTATTGATATATATGATAGGTTTCTCAATCTTGAGAAATTAACATACTCATCACTAACATGACACATGTGGCAGTTCAGAAGCATCACATTGCCATGGCTAAAATCGACGAGGTAAACGATCCATCAGGTGAGAAGAAAGGAGATAAGAAACCAAGCACCACGCAAAAGATTCACCTACTAAAAAACACGCATGTTCGCAGTCTCAAAGCTGAGCAACAGACATCAGAGTCGGTTAAAAGAATCTGTGCGAGAAGCAGGGATTTCGTCTGTAGAATTTTAAGAAGAATCGGAGCTTCGTACATACATTGCAGACCATTTAGTCAGACTTTCAATGGTAATGGCGCTCGTGTACTCTCATGACTAAACAAAGACATGACCCAGTAGTAGGAAATCTCTAAACAGTCCGAACTTACACTTACCTGAATTCGTCCTCGGCATGCACATTCCCTTAGTGCATTCTGAGAGACGAGTGAACATATCTTCTGGCTGCGAGTGTAATGTAGAAGAATCCCGCAAGAAGTGTACACGACAGTAAGGGCACTCAGAGAGCTAAGCAATGAACAATATTCTCAACGATGGAATTGATCAGCGACAAACATCATGTGTAGACGAGATGTGTAGAAATGATCGTCAATCTGATGTGCTTTCTCTGATGACCAAAGTTTTCAAAGAACTGGATTCGCTGGATGTTTTCTACACATGGGACGGTGCTGCTTCGCTCGAATCTTACAACCCACACGTGGCAAAAGCCCATTAGGTGCAAAACTGTTCAAATCGTCGTGGCGGGGTCACAATGTGATGGAAGAAAGACTCTCTGAGCGGGGGAGGCACACCTTGAACGACAAGGCCGCTGTTCCGAAGTGCGGAAGCTCGCAAGTCCACGTTAGCTTAGACCTAGTCTTCATAAGTTGCAGAGCGAATGACTCGCAGTTAGTTGGAAGGTTCCGATGCACTAATTATCAGTTTGTGAGTTTCATGCAAAGGATTTGCAAGTTTGTTCAAAGGATTAGGGTTCGCCATGAAGACATCTGGAATAGTATGCATGAGTAGCAAGAGCGGTGGAAGAGTTGGGGTTTTCAAGGAATGCGATGAAACGCTCCGTATCTAGTGCATTGACGGATTGTTTACACGGCCGAAAGTGTCCCGAGAAGTAGAAAAGGATTAGCTGCATTTTTTGTTTGGTTTTGTGCTGAGTTCGAAGCTCAAGCATCATGATTGTGTGCGTAGCTGTCGTCGGACATAATGTGGGTTTATTTCTCCGCTCAAGAATATTTTTACTGATCCCATCTTTCTTTTTAGATGCCTTTGTGTGATGCTCCCGTGTGAGCCTTGGATGGGTTTGTGCCTCTGATAACGTGCGCATCTGGCTAATGCGAATCAGAATTGGCGTGCTCTGGTGTGCCTGGACTTTCATGTCAGCTTTTCATGTAGTTCTCCTTTACGTCTTAGGTTTTTTGATGCTGGTCGATTTAGGTCATTTAGAGTCAAGAAATTGATAAAAATTTGCTGTGGAGTCGCAGAACCATCCCTTGTATTTGCAGAGTTTCATCAGTGAGAGTAATATCCTAAAATTCCACCACATCGTTCACTGCTCCTTGGATGTAATCGAGGAGAAAGGTACGTTGTTGCCATCACCCTAGGTTTAGCATTCTGCTTTTTTTGCTTTCTTTTCTTGGTCTCTTCCTCTATCTATTATTATTGTTATTATTATTCTATAACTTTGAGTCTTACAGTCAGGGCGCAAGAATGCATCAGAACTTCTAATCTCGTATCGTGTACATGGCAGTCAGCAACTCTAAACAAGCTGGTATAAATATCAGTGAATCCTTCTTGGGGCTCCTATATCCAACAGAAGAATATAAAGTGTAAGTTGGTTCAGGTGTCTTCTTCAGAGTCGAAGCCCAGACGGTAATATTCAGGGTTTGGCATTAGTAAACAATTGGACTCGGGCTCTCATAATCAAAAGCTGCACAACACCTCAAATGTTACTACATGACGAGGGATCTTGAATGCTGAATTTGTGCTAATTTAGTGCATAGATTTAGGATGTAGTTTAGTGGCACACCATATATTAAATGAACTTCGTGATGCAGGTATGGCTACATGACTAACACAATGATCAAGTTTGTACTGGTGACTACTGATCGGGATTTGCGGGATGCTGATGTTCGCAATGTAAGGTTCAAGTAGCATTTTATATCTAAAGTTTAGTTTCTAGTTCAGTAAATTGAAGTTAGAGAATCAGTACTTACGAAATCATTTTTAGTCAGGAGCATTGAAGTGAATATATGGGGAGAGAAAAATAACCCACTTTCGTCTGTTGTTCAGTTATTCCGACGCCTCCATGCAGCGTATGTAGATGCAGCATCCAATCCCTTTCACGTACCAGGGAAGAAAATCACATCGTCAGTCTTTGTTGAGCGAGTTGGTAACATGGTGAAATCGTTTGGTGCTGGTGCTTCGGTGTAAATTCTATCAAATGTTTTAAGATTTTACGTAAGTAGAACTTGAATGTGTTTGATTTGCATTCGCTTGTTTTAGGAAATCATTTTTAACAGTCTGTATTCAAGTTTGCTATTTGTAATAGTTTTTTCACCAACATGAATGGAGTCGACTCATGTCTTTAGTTCCAATGCCCACATTCTGTTCGAAAATTATCGTCTTTGTTTTCGATAATTTCTTTTTTATTGCCTTCAAGTTTTCTTCTTTCAATTTCCAGCTCTGAAATTCTGGATGCAGATCACAAATTGAAGTATTAATACCTCGGCAATGCTCTTATTCGTCCTAGGGAGATAACAGATTATTGCTCTCTTGAGCACGAAGTAAAAGAACTAAGAGGACAAGCCCAAGTTTCAACACTATTCCCTTGTTGCCATTAATATATTTATTTGAAGAAACTGTGGTGTTATCCTAAAATCAGGTTCTTTCAAAAGTGAACATCGAGGCTTCTTTAAAATGTTAGGCATTGAAATGTTTGGTGATTGCTTGATTCAAAGATGCAGTTGTCAAATCGTCAGAGTGGAGACCACGGGCGGGCTTGGTGTTTCAACCGAAAATGAACAGAACTGCTCATGATAGATGGAGACTGCCAAAAATATCTCAATGTAGTTGACAAATATTTACAAGTGTTTCTTTGGGGTCATCTCTACGCCCATTTGTTAAACGCAAAAATGGACGCTGCGTATTCGTACGCATTACTCATAATGAATTTGCTGGCTGTCATCATCAAAGTCACAGTCATTTCCATTTCCAAACCTCCTGCGATTGTCCACATTCGTCCCTTAGTATCACCTTGAATACACCAGATACTCCACGAGATCCAAAATAATGTCCACCTTCGGCGACACTGATGTGAAGATGATCTCTCACTAATTGTAAAGTTCAGTTTCTGTCGAATTTAGACCTACGTAACAAAGCGTTCTAATCATTTACTGCAGACTTACATGGCAAAGGTTCTGATTCAAATCTAATTATGTTAGCGGTGGAGATCAACGAGGCAATTTTTTAATCATAAAACCATCAATGTGGAAAAAGGGAGGTTTGGAAATGGGCAGCAATACAGAAGAACATCCAACCAAGCATCTATTAAGCACACTCAAACACAAGCTAGCTGGTCAGTATACCTGCTACTACAATAAAAGCAAGGTCTGGCTAAAACATCACCCCCACCCCCACTAACAAATTGCAGTAAAGGGCTACCAGTTGCTGGCAAGATCTTCAACCCAACGCCTCAACCACCTTCGAATTTGGCAGTCCACGAAATGAACTGCACTCTACTTTAGATGGCTACAATGATGCTATTTTACAATGTATAAAATGCAGTTCAGCGAATAATACTGACCTCCAGATTCCACCTTGCATAAGTTATTGTGGATTAGCATCTGCATATCTAGCTGCTTCGTTGATGATCGAAACTGAACCCTAATGGCGCCAGATCCACCTTAACCTCCACATACACTTTTCCAACACAATGCTTGTTTGAAACTCTGGTCAGTCAAACCCGTCAAATCGACTACTTAGACCGGCTGCTTGATGGGCCACTCCTACCTCGAGATGTTGGTTTTGCTGCTGAGGAGGGATTGATCCGTACCCAACCGATTGCGGCAGCATGGGCCCATTAAACTAATATTTTTGTCCCAAGGATAAGATTCCCAACATCTTCCACGTGCATGGTTGGATCAACCTAGAACCTGCAGTGAAGGCCTACGAGTTCCAACACTTGACTCTCGTTATAAGAGTTTCCAGTCAGAGATCGTCAAACTCAAAAGTGGCTCTATCGCGAATGATGAAATCTTCACTTTGATCAAGCAATGTCACCGCGACTGTCTGTAGCATTCAAGGTTATGAACGCAGTCCCTATTGACTAATTCTCTGCAGCACTTTTTAATGATGAAAGGAGCAGCTACAGGCAATGTGATCGCCTCGGCCACACGGCATAGGATTCGCTACAACCATGGTTGAAATTTACACAATCAATCCTAGAGTATAACCGAATGGTGGTGACCTATCTTGAACTATCTTTCATACTTGGGTGGTACCCATTTTTATTTTTTACCTTTACATACTTCGTTTTTTTAAAACAATAGGGACAGAATGTGGTAAACCTTTCGAAAGCGCCCCACTGGTAGTTTTGTTGGTAGTTGCCCTTGTTAGGGTTTCATTCGTAGCCTTATGTTTCGAAGCTCTCTGTTCCACTCATCGTGTTTGCAGCACTCGCACTATTTAATTTTTTACTGTTCACTCACTTCAATAAATCATTATCATTCCTTCTAGTCTCAAAGCAATAGGCTTTCTTTGGTTTTAGAACTCTGACTCTACCAAACTGTGAGTATCACCAGATTGTAGTCTCTAGTACATCCATGCTATACCATGACAGGATCTGACTCAGGTTATCGTAAGTAGTAGATAGATTAGACAAAGAGCTCAAGAGCCCACACGAAAATCCAAATCTCCTTCGACAGCAGCAGGATAGGGAAACACCACGCACACCACTACATCCGGCAATCTGCTACTTCCAGAGACATATCATCTCTTAGCATGGACAACCACAGAATGAGGGCTTTTAAAATGGAGAATATTCTTAAGCAAGAAGGATTGTTTTGCTGGTGCAATTTGGTAGTCTTGCCAACACCACTTTCAACTATTGAAGAAAAAGGTTGAAAACAGGCTATAAGTGTTCTAAATAGCAATGTCAAATACATGGTGCTACACATCATGAAATAGTTTAATGATCTCCACAAGTATTGGGCACATCTAAAATCCAATTAAAAGATAGACAATAATCCTTGCAAAATCTATGTAATTAATAAAAAAGTTAATATCAAGAAAACTAGCATGATGAATATAAATGAATGATAGAAATGAAAGAAACAATAGATTTTCTAAAAGACGTTAGTATTCTGTTGCCAAAACCTATTGTAGTTTGGTATATAGTGAAGAACTTTTCAAAAAAATATGACATCACAAAAAAAATAACATTAGGAGACAAATTATTGTCTTATGCAAAACTAGAGATGCACTTGCTAAGTCAAGAAATGTCATCCAAAATAAAGAAGACTAACAAGAAAGAGAGTGATATGTTTCTTGCAATTAGAAACAATATCAAATAATTCTTACACATGGAAGTCTATTGCCTATGAATAATAAGATTAGATTTTACAACAGATTCCAAAACCAAATGACAATGACTATAAGACACTCAACTTATTATCTATATCACAGCAACAATATATATTTGGAGGGTAGAAAGTATTGAAGCATCTACTTATTGAAGCAATTATAATAATTGTTCTAGTGCTTACAACCTAGACAAATCAAAAGTATGCACCTTAGAAGACAACACAAAAGCCATGATGAAAAAATTAAAAAACATGGAGTGACAACTCCAATCTAAATGTCAAGCCCAACCATTTGGGAGTCATGTCAATAGTATCAAAGAGTTTTTTTAATGAAGATCAACCAACCAACTCATATGAACATGGCAAAGAAGACATCACCAAAAAAATAACTATTTGCTTCTTAGGTATTAGAAGCTTACTTTGTCAAAATTAATTTAGTAGAATTTGATCAAGTAGAGATCTTGGTATCTTGAGTCAAGTGCTTTGTATCACATTAATGGACAAAAATCTAACTTTTCATCACCAAAATAAAGTAGGAGCACCAAAATCACAATGATTGATTGAATTACTTTTATTATCACGGCATACATAGAATTATAGAATATGGTATTGTCATTGGCCTTCTAAACCTTCTAGACAACTATACACTATGTAAAATTTGTATTTGAAGAAAGCAAACTAAGGCCAAGACTCCAAAGAAACAAACTTGGTAAATATTTGTTATTTTAAAATTAATCTATATTGATATTATAGGACCATATTAAATAAAATCATTAGGTAGAGTGCACTACTTTCTTATATTAATGGATGATTTTTTGAAATATACATTTGTATTATTTTTCTTCAAAAAAATTAAATATTTTTTGAAATTTTTCATCTTCTATCAAACTATCAAGAATCAAATTGTACAAAAATTGTGGATATTGAGATCCAATAATAGGAAAAAATTTCTCTCTGCCAAAATTCAAGAAATATTATACAATTTATGGAATCTATTGAAAATTCTCCTAATTATTTACACTAAACCAAAATTATGTGATAGAATGATAGAATCACATTTTTCAAATAATCATCCATTTTTTTTTCTTTGAAAACAACCTTGTAGACTTTTTGTAAGTAAAAGTGATTCAAGCCATCTTCATTTTCATCAACTTTAGATCTTTAAAACAATAACTCAATAAGACATCTTACAAAATATTTATTGAAATCAAATCAAACATCTTTAACCTTTAAGTTTTTGATATTTTAGCTTTGTAGTTGATACAATATTTTTTTATAAATTTAATTCAAAATTTAAAAAATGTATATACTTGAGTCTAAATCCATATTCAAAGACTTTTTGGTATTATGATCTTATAATACAACATATCATCATTTCTAAGGATATTTAATTTTTAGCCAAATTAGACTTTCATGATTTTGTCCAAATAGTCAAACTTATCCTTCTATTTTAGAATCATGGTATTTCATGCACTTTTCACTTAGCACTTCAATAAATATATGAATTCAATTTTTTAAAAGTATTTGTCTTTATTATATGGTGGGAGTCAATTTGAATAAATATGCCTTCAGTCGCTAATCATGACTAAGCAATTTATTACATAGATATAACTATAATATTTTTCAATGAATATTTTTTTAAAGACGTCTACATGTTACAACTTTCAAGCATCATCCATTCAAGTAAAGAATATTATATTTATAAACTTCATTATTCCTTTAATGGCTTAGAGCAAAGTCCACAAATTTATATAATCAGGTTGATACTAATCTATGTAGCTAGATTTGATAAAAATTACAATTGTCTTTAAAATTCACTATCTTTGCTATGTCTTTATACTCACCATATTCAATGATTTGTATATTGTTGATTCAACAACTCTAGTCATTAAGCTATTAAAACACTATCTATCAATATAATATCAAATAACAAATTTGGACTCAGTTTGTAAATTTTTTAGTATTAAATTCCTTCAAACCAATTTCACTACTTTGTTCCATCAAATTTCATCTATCTACTTTCTTATTACAAAGAATCATCATTTTATCAAGAATGCAACTAATGTATCAGTATTAGAAATACTAAGATTTTGGAACAATGCCAAAAATCAATCAATTGAATCTCTACTCTATCAATGATTAATTAACAAGCTTCACAAATTACTTAAGATTAGAGTTGACATCAATTCTATAATTTCTTTATTTAGTTAATTTATACATCAATATCAAGGACATAAATCTTTAAAAAAAAATCTCAATATAGTCTTATATTTTTAAAAAAGACTAAAAAATCACTCAAAGATGATATAGTATTCACCTAAAATGGCTATTTTTAAAGATAAGAAGATTAGAAAGTCATAAAACAAGACTACGGATTAGAAAGGTATTGATAAGATTAAAAAAGGCTTCACTCTTGCCTCCATATATACTCTTAACTAAGAGCTACATGGCAATGTTCTATAGAACCTCCAAAACATGCTGACTTTACAAGGCATATATTTTAACTTGCAAAAAAAGTTCTTTACATGTGTGCTACATAATTAGCTAGTTTCATAAGGTATCAATACATGGTTAATTTATTAACTAAGTTTTTAACCTATCAATCAATCACAAACATATGCAAAATTAAAGAAACA